ATGGGCTTAAACCTGACAGGACTCTCTCTGATCTGAATGGTCACTACCTAATCATGAAGCAGTGCTAGTGCAGCCTCTACAGCTCAGTGAGTGAATTCTGGGGGTTCTGAGCTTTCACATGAGTCATGAGAATGAGAAAAACTTGTATGTGTCCTCTATCTGCATGATAAGGCACTGGCAACCCAAGTTCAGCTGTGATTGTAAGACCGCACTTTTAGAGATAGGACAAGTATTTCATATAGCTGGGCCTTTTTGGATTATTTCCAAATAGCAAAGGAGAAATTCAATTTGTCAACTCGACCAAAGGTTTTTGATTGAACATGTTTCGCAGCTCATCAAAGTTGTTTCCTCAGTTCTGGTCAGATTGCTGGTGGACACTTCTTTATATCTGCCTGAACAGTGGAGCCAACTACACTAACTGTAAACAAGTAGGTGTGTTAGTTTCAGAGTAGTTTCAGTGTAGTTAGCTCCTTCTTTCAGGAAGGTACAATAGACGAGACAAGTATTTAACCCCTTGCTGGTTTTGTAGGTTTGCCCACTGACAAAGAAATGAATGAATGAAATTAAAGGTAGATTTATTTTACCATTGAGAGATAGAATATCAAAAAGAGAATCCAGTAAATAACTTTAAAGAAAATATATAAATTGATTTGCATTTCATTGAGTGAAATAAGTATTTGAACCCTCTAGCCAAAAAAGACTTAGTACTTGGTGGCAAAAACCTCGTTTGCAAGCACAGAGGTCAGACGTTTCTTGTAGTTGATTACCAGGTTTGCACACATACCAGAAGGAATTTTGGTCCACTCTTCTTTGCAGATTATCTCTTTTCATGGCTGTTGCTTGACAACTCAAAGCCTTAGCTCCCTCCAAAGGTTTTCTATAAGGTTAAGGTCTGGAGACTGACTGGGCCACTCCAAGACCTTATTGTGCTTCTTCTTGAGCCACTTCTTCATTGCTTGGCTGTATATTCTGGGTCATTGTCATGTTGGAAGACCCATCAGTGACCCATTTTCAGTTTCCTGGCAGAGAGAAGGAGGTTGTCACTCAGGATTTTACGGTACATGGCTCCGTCCACCCTCCTGTTGACGCAGTGAAACAGAATGTTTCCACCTCCATGCCAGACGGTGGGGACGGTGCTCATGGGGTCATAAACAGCATTTCTCTTCCTCCAAACATGGCGAGTTGAGTTCATGCCGAATAGCACCTTCTCCCATTCTCTCTCCAAATCATTCAGGTTTTCATTGCACATGTGCCTTCTTAAGCCGGGTGCACTGCAGGATTTTAATCCATTGTAGCGTGAAGTGTTACCCATGTTTTTTCTTTAGTGACTGTGGTCCCAGCTCCTTGAGATCACTGACTAGCTCCTCCCATGTAGTTCTAGGCTGATTTCTCACTGTTCTCATGATCACTGAACCCCCATGAGGTGAGATCTTGTGTGGAGCCCCAGACTGAGGTCGATGGATGGTCATTTTGTATTTCTTAAATTTTCAAACAATTGCACCAACAGTTGTCTCTCAGCTTCTTGCTTATGATTTTGTAGCCCGTTCCAGCCTTGTGCAGATCTGCAGTCTTGTGCCTGACGTCCTTTGACAGCTCTGTGGTCTTTCAAGGGTGAAAAAATGCATCGCACACTCGGTTGGCCAATGTCCAAAAGCTTTTTTATTAACAAAATAACGTTTCGGCAAAAAAAAGCCTTCATCAGATATTTTTCTTGTTTTGGACCACAGCACACCCTTGTCTGACTGCTCCTTGCATTTGCACCTCTACAAGAATTTTGGTGTGCGTTTTCTGTTTCTTCTTCTTTCATGTTTGGAGAGTTTGGAGTCTGATTGATTGACTGATTCTGCTGACAGGTGTCTGTTATACAGGTGACTAGTTAAAACTGGAGTGTAATTCAGATAGCAAATTGATTAGGAGTGTCTAACTGGTCTGTGGGTAGGGGCTCAAATACTTATTTCACAAATGAAATGCAAATAAATTAATATACTTATACTTATACTATACTATACTATACTATTATACTATACTAATTTACTATCTGTGTGTTTTTTTTTTTTTTTTTTTTTTATTTCTATCTCTCAATGTTAAAATAAAACTAAGATTAAAATTATAAAGTGTTAACTTCCTACAAATTCAGCAATGGATCAAATACTTATTTCCTCCACTGTATAATGCAGTGTCCACCAGCAATCTGACCACAACTGAAGAAGCAGTTTGGATGAGATGTGACATGTATTCAATCAAAAAACTTGAATTAAATTTCGCCTTTGTTATGGATCCTACCTGGACGACTGGATTTCACTCATTTACTTCCAAATAGTTTGACTTGAGAAGCAAAACACGACAAAAACAACATTTACATACTGAGTGTTTTTGTACTTGTGAAGAAACTGCCCAGTAAAATCTGTCATTTGAACATTATATTCCTTCACATCTGATCTGTTTACGCTACCTTTAATGTGTGATGTTGCTGTTTTGAACCCTCTTAACACTTGTGTCCCACTCCCAGAATAAACACCAGGTGGGTACAGTAAGGCAGCTCTATGTAAAACGATCCGCGCTCATATGAATCCAGTGACTGTCGTGCATCACATCCGTCTGTCCATTGTTTGGGATGGAGCTCTATGTTTAGCCTGTGGAGGGTGAAGGGGGAGGGTGGGTGGTGGGTGGTGGGTGTAAAGGGGGTGCAGGAGGTGGAGGGGGGGGCAGATGTGCGCTCCCAGGACTCTCACTTTATTAGGAAGTATGTGCCGCTTGTCTCATGTGAAAGTGTTAACTGCTGGTATTAAAGGCAGTTTATGTTTCGTCAAAAACACTGCAGAGTTTGGGGGTTAAACTTTAAACCTAATGATGACCGTTTAAGTAATTATAGTCAAGATTATCTAGCATTAATGGCTCTAGGGCTTGACCAAATTGATGCTGCTTGTACAGTGAAAGTGCAGTTAAAGCCACAGTATTGCTTGCATTTCCACAAACCCGATTCTTATTTGGGCCTCTTCCCGCTTGTTTCCATGGAAAATCTGTTCATTTGTCTATAATCTTTCACAGTACCACATAAAAACATCTATATCCAGGGAGAATGTTCCAAAGTTTGGCTTTAACTGGCTTTAACTTTAACTTAACAGGTGACAAGGTACTTCCAGAAAGTTACACACAGCACCTTTAATTCAGATTTACTCTATTTTGCTACTGTCTGTGTTGTTTCATTTTAACAAGCAAACTTTTGGCCCAAAAAGAGATAAGGTTTACAGTTTGTATCCAGGCATGTAACGATATCCAAATCTCACAGTACGATGTTTTCAGGCTACTTTTTCCTCTTAAAATGCCTTGACAAGACTTAATCCAAAGAACTAAGACTTAAAAGTGCTTAGAACTGCTATTTCTCCATGTAGTTTGCGCCAAAACGGAGCAAAGGATCATGGTCTATGTAGTTCCTTCTGTTTTTTAGCTATTGCTGCACCATAACTCTTAATTTAAGCAAAAAGACTTGTGATTCGACATATTGTGATGGTCCACGATATTATTGTGAGACTTTTGACGATATGATATCACGATATTTTGGTTACTGTTACATCCCTAATAGCTTGTATCTAGGGATGTAACGATGTCCAGATCTCACTGTATGATATTTATTGCAATATTATGTGGAGGATAACAAAATTCTGAATATGTTATGAATACTTTTTTCCTCTTAAAAAGCCTTAACAAGACTTAATCCAAAGAACTAAGACTTAAAAGTGCTTAGAACTGTTATTTCTCCATGTAGTTTGTGCCAAAATGGAGCAAAGGATCATGGTCTATGTAGTTCCCTCTGTTTTTAAGTTATTGCTGCACCATAACTCTGAATTTAAGCAAAGAAGAGGTTAACAAAATTCTGAGTATGTTACTTTTTTCCTCTTAAAATGCCTTGACAAGACTTAATCCAAAGAACTTATACTTAAAAGTGTTAGAACTGTTATTTCTCCATGTAGTTTGTGCCAAAACAGAGCAAAGGATCATGGTCTATGTAGTTCTCTTTGTTTTTTTAGTTATTGCTGCACCGTAACAATGAATTTAAGCAAAGAAACTTGTCCACGATATTATTGAGACTTTTGACGATACAATATGACGATATTTTGGTTATTGTTACACCCCTACTTGTATCTCTTCTGTGTTGTTTGTTGGGCATGATAACACCGTAGTTACAATTCTAGTGGGACTGGTTATTACGGTACAGCGCAGTAGCGACACATGCATACGACCGCAGCCAAACACGATTGGGGCATTCGAGGCCCGCCTACGCTGTGATGGAGCGATCGGTACTTTGACAATGTGAAGCTATCTGGCTTTCCTGTAGCTCACTGCTAAATATTTTCTTACAGACCAACAATACAAACAGGTGCAAATCCGCAGTGGGTCTGTGCATGTGCTCCCGTGTGACAGATGACAGGAGAACATAAGGGGGAGTGTGACGTGAGGTCAAACGTACAACACACATCTACAACACACATCTACAACTCACATCATCTTGCGCATATTTCAATCTAGATCCACGTTTAGGTGCTCTGGGGGTTGGTTTAACGAAGCGGTTCATTCACAAATCGCTACCAAGCTTACATACCTGCAGAATTAAAGGTGCTGTAGCTGAGTTTTACAGTCTTAAAAAACGTGAAAAACAGAATTTATTCATTTTAAACTGTTTGCAGAGGTCCAAAGTTAGTCCTCACTTATCTAATTATTCACAGAGATGAGTTTATGAGCACTTTTCCGAGACCAGAGCAGAGTGACAGCAAAGTAAAGTAAACAACAACTATCAGGCTATGTGCACTTCCTAATTTTCGGGAAAAGAAAATGGTTCATAACTTATTTTGACTTTGAGAACTGCTTAAATCTGTACTGGGGCAAGACAAATTTTGCTCAGATAAGAAAATATCATGCAGGTTATCATATGGTTCACTCTTTTTGAAAGTCGTTTCCTTCTTTTTGCAATATTCTCATGACTGTTTTTGAGTGGGTCTTACCTTCATTGGCCAGCACGATGAACTTGGACGCCTTGACGACCTTCCCGTCCAGCGTCCAGGTGACAGTGGCGCCCCCTGGGTCGGCGAGCCGGCACTGCAGCCTGAGCCTCTGTCCGTCCAGCACTGTCACGTCGCTCAGCTTCTCCTTAAACTCCGGTCCTTTGCCGCCGCCTCCACCTGCGCCTCCACCCGCCGCCGCCTTCTTCTCGTGGTGCCCTCCGTCTACGCAGTTATTCACCGCCACTTTGCTGTCCTTCTCCTTCTCCGCGGGTTTCACCGGCGTCTCCCCGTTCTTCTCTGGAGCTTTCTTCTTATTGGCCAAAACCGATCGGAAGTCCGTGGCGTTTTTATTCTCGGACGGTTTGCTCGTGGCGTTCGGCGACGGAGCTGCCGGCGAAGAAGAACCTTTTTTCCCTAAAACGGCTCGGAAGTCCACCTGTTGTCCGGCGCTGGTCTTGCGGTCGTCCTCGAATTTGGCCTTGACGCCTTTGAGGTTAGCTTTAAAATCCATCTTATCGTCTTTCTCGACCACGGAATCGTTATTATTATTGTTGGCGTTGTTCGGATTATTTCTACGTCCGAGCAGCGAGCGGAAGTCTAACTGCTGTGCCTCCCTTTGCCGAATCTCGTCTTCTCCTCGCTCCCTGGTCTCCACCGATCTCTTCAGCAGACCTTTCGGAGCAGCTAGATCTTCCTTTCTGAGATCTTCTTGACCGACTTGCTGCTTGAACTCCCGCTTGGAGCTCTGCCACTGCGCACTGCTGCTCCTCTCCTCCGCTCCACCGGCTCCGGGACTGGGAACGGATGAAAAAAAAAAAAAAGAAAAGATGAGGGAGAAGAGATGCGGAGAGAGAGGGGAGAGAGAGAGAGATGGCTTAAAGCTGCAAGTGGACAGTGAAGCCAGTGAAGCCCGTAAAGGCGCAAGCCCGGCCCACCCGAGCATAAGCAGCTAGGGAGGATAGGGGAAAGAGTAAGGGGAGGGGGGAGAGACGAGGAGAGGGACCTGGACTCTAAATGTTACATCACAAATGACTCGCCGGTCCATATAAAGGCATGCGCCCGGTCGGTTCTCAAAGCATAAACACACGTTCCTCCCAGTTCACTTGATTCCCACTGGTGCAACTAAAGTGAAAATACTGGGAAAACTCTCCGTACACTGCAAAAACGCTGGAAAAGTGTGTTGGATTAAGAATATTTTTTTGATATGACTAGGGTTTAATAGCTTAGATGCATTTACTGTGAAGACAACTATTTCACTTAATTCATTTTCCATGCCTGGAATGTTCCACAGTATGGCATTTAACCTTTTGCTTTTATTCCATTACAGGTGTTTCTACTGCTTAAAAATATCATAGTGTGAGCAGGTTTTCGCCACAGAACTTTGCCTGGTTGGTGTCACTTGTTTCCATGGAGATATTGCTTTGAATGTTCTGTAGTACAGCATTAATCATGACTATCTTGATGAAGACAAGTAATGTATGCGCCAGACCTTCCACTAGAAAAGTTACACCGTATGTCTTTAAGGTTTGATTTGTTTTGACCTTTTACAGATTTTTGTGTACTACATGATTTGAGTAGTTTTGATGAGGTTTGGGTAACACTTTATAATAAGATGCCACAATAAACAGCAAACTAACTCTTTGTTAATATTTATTAATTGTTGCTAAAATATCTATTTGGCACAAGTTAATACTTTTTTCATCATTAACTAAACATTAGTTGTTAACTGTAACTATATTATTAACTAATATTGTATTAATATTTGTTAACAGTTAACTAAATGTCTTTTTGGCACCAATTAATAGTTATTTTTTTCATCATTTAAATGTTAATCTCTCGGTATAATATTGTCACGATATGCATCTAACGGTACAGTATTTATTGTGATATTTTGGAAAGGCTAATATAAATGTAGATAGGACACTTGATGAGATTTTGGTGTGAATTATTTCCGTCATAATCCCAAGAATTCAAGTCAAAAACATATTTCTTCATGTTGTCTGCACTGAAATGAATCATGGGATATGTAGTTCCTGATGTTTATAAGATGTTACTACTATAAAACCTGCATTTAAGCAAAGAAACTTGTGTAATTCGATATATTGTGACAACCCACGATATTATTGTGAGACTTTTGACGATACGATATCACGATATTTTGTTTATTGTTACATCCCTAATAGTTAATAATGCTCACAACTAATGTTTAGTTAATGATGAAAATGATCAACTTGTGTCAAACTGATATTTTCGTAACAATTAACAAATATTTACAAAGGGTTAGGTAATTACTACTTTGCTATTCATTATGGCACCTTATTATAACGTGTCACCAAATTTTGATTTGTTGCAAGATTTTTTGTTGTTGTGTTTTTGGGTTTTTTTTTTTCCCCAGAGTTTTTCATTTTTTTCTTACCAATAAAAAAAAAAATCTGTGTAGGTTATGTGGCTCCCTGCTTCACCTGGTTGTAATGTATAAAATTTAATCGACTGAAGGAGCAAGAAATTAATAAGTTTACTCTACCTCCTACAGCATAAAATAAAATGAAAATACTGAAAATATGTTGAAAATATTTACATTTTCAGAAATCTTTTGAAACCAAGCAAAACATATAGGTTAAAAAGTAAATAAATCCAAACTAGAGCAAAACCACTTAGAACTAAATTCTGAATTCAAGTCATTTTATTTTAAGGAGCTCTTTTCTGTTTTGCTGTTCTCTTGCTCCATTTTGCCTTGATTTCCTCCATTAGAAAAGCTCACGATTTGTCCAGAATGTCATTCCAGAGCCATGTAAACAATGGGAGCGTCCAGCTGGGAGGCCCGGAGGAAATGTGCCTGTGATTGGTTTGGGTGATATGGAGGGATTAGAGGAGCTTTAGGGAATTTCTGGATATAGGACAGACGGGTGGATGGATGGATGAATACGGGGATGAAAACAGGAGAGCTGGGGGCTGGTCGGGGCAGGATCACATGCACAAGTATCATTCATGCAGCGTGATTCGATACGTAGTACATGTATGCAGAGGTTTATCTTTTAACAGAACGTATTATGCTTTAAAGGTGCGCTATGTAACTTTTTGGTTTGGAGTCCATCACCTGCTGTAACTGCTCTGCCTGGAATGTTCAATTACAGGTGCTTTTATATAGGAATTCTGCTGTGTGTGGGGTCGCCTCTCCACTGATCTGACCTGTAACTTGGTCTGGTTTGGTCTCCATGATGATAGAAAGGTTTAAATCCAGTGGACTCACTCTGTCACTGCATCCAACAGATCAGTGTGTGGACGCAAAACAACTTTCTCCAGCTAAACGCAGACCAGACTGAAGTCATAGTGTTTGGTCCACAGAAACAAAGGGACAGTGTCAGCAGTCACCTCCAGTCTCTCTCTCTAAAAACTTCAAATCAGGCAAGAAATCTCGGGGTAATAATGGACTCAGACTTGAACTTTAACAGCCACATCAAATCAATAACATCTGCAGCCTTTTACCATCTAAAAAAACAGCAAAAATCAAAGGTTTACTGTCTAAAGCAGACTTAGAGAGACTTATCCATGCCTTTTTTCTCCAGTAGGTTACTGGAGGTTACTAGGTCTCACTGGTCTATCCAAACGAGCTGTGAGATGCTGCAGAACATCCAGAAGGTTCCAGCTCAGGTCCTGATTTGAACTAGCAAGTACGAGCGCGTAAGTCCTGTGGTCAGGTCTCTGCACTGGCCCCTGCGGCTCAGAGGCTTTAAAGCGGCTCTGCTTGTGTACAAGTCTCTCCACCTGCGCCTCCACCCGCCGCCGCCTTCTTCTCGTGGTGCCCTCCGTCTACGCAGTTATTCACCTCCACTTTGCTGTCCTTCTCTTTCTCGGTCGTTTTCACCGGAGCTTTCTTCTTACTGGCCAAAACCAGTCGGAAGTCCGTGGCGTTTTTATTCTCGGACGGTTTGCTCGTGGTGTTCGGCGACGTAGCTGCTGGCGAAGAACCTTTTTTCCCCTAAAACAGCTCGGAAGTCCACCTGTTGTCCGGCACTGGTCTTGCGGTCATCCTCGAATTTGGTCTTGACGCCTTTGAGATTATCTTTAAAATCCATCTTATCGTCTTTCTCAACCACAGAATCGTTATTATTATTGTTGCCGTTGTTGTTGGTTCTCAGAGACTTTAAAGCAGCTCTACTCGTGCACAAGTCTCTCGATGGCCGAGCACCAAAGTACATCTATGACATGTTAGTGCCATATGAAACATCTCGCACTCTGAGGAACTCAGGGACCGGCCTCCTGCTGGTGCCCAGAGTCAGGACTAAACATGTGGAGTCAGCGTTTCAGATTCATGCAGCTAAAACCCAGAACAGTCTTCCTGAACATGTGAGACAGACTCTATTTTGACGCTGTTTAAATCCAGACTCAAAACGGTTCTGTTTAGCTGCAAATGTCTGAAAGGTTTTCATTCCGCAGTCTTCTCTCTCATTTATGTAATTACTGTCTTTCTCTTTTTAATTTTATGATGATTATTTATGTGTTGACTTGTTTTTATTGTGATTTTAATGTAGTTTCTTATTTTGTGAAGCACTTTGAATTACTTTGTGTACGAATTGTGCTATACAAATAAACTTGCCCTGCCCATTCCAGACAAAGCAATAACATCTCCATGGAGAAAAGCATCTGACGGACCCTCCACCAGAAAAGTTACACAATGCACCTTTAATGGGTAGATACTATACATTATTTATATGGTTAATGATGAGTAAACCTGCTCTTGAGCACCTTGGCTTTGTCATTTCATGTTTTAGAACGTAAAATATTGTCTATCTTTAGACAAGAGACTACGAGTACACTGTTCAGCTCATATCCTGACTGGGCCTTGAATTTGATATAATGCGACTATTAATGGCTGATGTAGGCCTAGGATGTGTCATAACTTTTATTGATACAAATCTGTTGCGTAGTTACAAAATAATAATTACCTACAACTGGGATGTCCAAACTTTTTTCATCAAGGGCCACATATCTAAACACAGATGAAGCAGAGGGCCGATCGAGGGCCGTAGACTTGTGCTCAGTACAAGGAATAATTGAAATATGTGCACGTTTAACACGTTAGAATGAGTCATAAGTCTTTACTCATGCGAAGATCCTTAAAACCACACAGTAAATATTAAATATTAGCTTTATCAAGGTAGATTTTCAAAAAACTTTTAAAAAAAAAATTGACGCAAGGTCATTTGGGCCAATTCACCTGGAAGTCTGAGGGCCAAGAAAAATTTGTCCGAGGGCCTCATTTGGCCCGCGGGCCATAGTTTGGACATGCCTGACCTACAACAATTGGACCCAGATACTTAAACCCAAAGTATCTATATCATTATGAAAAAGATGTACAAGAGACCCCCTTGTTTCTACAGATGCACTCCCTATACTGGGAACTGGACTTTTACCTCTGATGTAACAAATCTGGGAAATTCTAAGTTGCAGTGTGCTCATGTATATTAAAAAAAATCCTAGAATGAAAATGCTCTGTTCAACATCATGTGGTAATGTGCTTTAAAAATCAAAATATTTTCAAATTAATTCTAATCAGATCTTCCATTGTGTTCACTAAAATATAATAAATATTTTAACACTGGTTCACTTGTTTTACCAGCACAGTTTTATTTCCTACATCTAATCCAATGACCGTCACAGTAACTTTTCTATATAATGTATTATTTTACGTTATCAAACATGAAATACCAACGCAATATCATAATATATCCCCACTGAGCACCAGTGTAAGCTGATTAAGCAGATAATGAAAATGGTCGATAGATGCAGCTGTGTCCTAAACCCCCCGCAGGCTGGTTATTAAGTTATTATAAAGAGGACGGGAAGCCATTTTGTCACTTCTGTGCTAATCTAAACCAACACACATGGTACTAGTGGTGACCCAGCCCAAGACCAAAACCAGTTACTGTTGTTGTGTCATTGGGCCAATACACTGACACTGCGGCCCCTATAATGATAATATATTAGATTTTGTAGATTTGTTACGTTTATTTTTGTTCTTGAACATTAAAAAACTGATTAGCTTTAGTCTACTTCTTCGCACTTTGCAGAATCAGACTGGTATCGGTATCGGTGAGTACACCAAGACCAAGTATCGGTATAGGGTCTATAGTACTTTGACTGATTTTGAACACAAAGCTGCAAATTCACCTGATTTGTACTCGCAAAGTAGCAAAAAAAAGGACCAGGAACAGCAGACAATACTTTTAAAACACCATATCCCCAGTTTAGTAATGAAAAAATGATAATATAGATTAGTTCCACTTTAAGTATGGCTTGCACATGTGAAGTAAGTGACAAATAAAAGGCATTTAAATTCAAAGTAATATTAGTTTTCATTGATGAACATTTTCTGAACCTAACAGTACAAAATCAATCTGTCTCTTTACCTGTGCTGGTCTCCCGTGCCCGTTGTACCCGCTGGTCTCCGTGCCCTGCTCCTCTCGCTCTCCCCCTCCTCTTTGACAGACAGAGAGGCGATGGCGCTGCATTCTCCCACCTTGTTCCTGGATCACAAACGCATCGTGTCAGAGCATCCCACGTCTCTTATCACCTTGAGTAACGCCTGTTTGTGTCAGAACTCTTCTTATCAACATTTTAATCATTCCCCAGTTTGAGTCATGTATAGATTTTGTATCAATCATGCAAACTGTAGAAAATGTTAAACGTCACGAACAGACAAAACAGCAAAAAAAACAAACACCAGGATCATGCAGAGCGAGTTGATATGAACATTTTAAGACCAAAATGACAAGGTTCACAGCAGCAGTTATAGAGAGAGGGACAACAATATTTTAGGACCGTATTTTTTGGACTATAAGTCACATTTTTTTCATGGTTTGGGTGTTTCCTGTGATTTATACTCCCATGCAACTTATATATTAAATTTTTCACACTGAAGCTGCGAGAGGCTCTAGTCTTGTGTGTGAGTATCTGCTGCTCCTGTTCCTCCTGTACTACTGTCACTTGGCTCTACTGCGCATGTCTCCTGCAGAAAGAGCCTCTGTCCTGCTGCAAGTCGTGAAATATTCAGGTAATCGAGCAGCAGAAAGAAAGTTTGGAATGAGCGAGAAACTTGTGAGGAACTAGCGGAAAGCGGAGACGGAGAACAGCTTCACGGCGACATGCGACTTTCCTGAAGCCACTGGATGGACGGACAAAGCCTGGACTTCAGTGACACCGAAACCATCCTGTCGGGATTCAGAAAGGCCGGAATAATTCTAACTGGAACTGATGCTGAGTCTGACGACAGCGACACAGAAGAGGAAGTGACGCTCTGTTTACCTCCAGAGGTCAGGGAGTTGCTCAGAAGTGACACCGAGGATGAAGAATTGAACGGATTTAGTGATTTGGAGTGAGATTGAGAGTTTGGTAAACTTGTTCTGTTCTGTTGTTTATGTTATAGTTTATCTGAAGAACTGTTCATATGTGACGTTAACAGTCTGTTGTTCTCTGTTCTATTGTTTTTACTAGAACTTGACTTTCAAGATAAAATGTCGGTTCCTGGTCTCTGATTTTATAAAATAAATTTCCCCCAAAAAGTGTGTGTTTTTTCCTTCTTCGTTACGCATTTTTTGGCTGGTGTGACTTATGCTCTGGAGCGACTTATAGTCCGAAAAATACGTTAAGTAAAATGCTGTTCTGTAATGAAAATTATTGTATTCATGTATAAGTGACTTACTTGAGGCTGATCAGATATTCTCCTGCGTGGTGCTTCTGGACTTTCCTTCAACACAACATTAGAAAGAAGAGGGATTATTTACACTTAGTTGATGAATTGTTGCAGCCCTGCACATAAGGTTAAAGCATCTTCAACACTGCATAAAATACTGCAATAAATATGGTTCTATCAAGTGAATAATGTCCTGTGAAGTTTTCCCTGGAATATTTAGGCATGTGTCAGCCTGATAAACACACAGCATCAGTCTTCCCAGCTTTTTGGCCACAAGCTACTGTCAACTTATATCAGTAAATAAAGCAATCCTGGCAGCTATTTTCAATAAAAATGTGTTACGTTGGAATACTTTACAAGTTATTCCACTGAACACAATGTCTGTTTTGTATTGTGCCAAAAATCCTTTTAGTAGGGACTTACATGGAACAAATATATTACAAAGCAAAGCTGCATCCAATCACAGAGCTCTCAAGCCTTCATATAAACGCTGCATCTCTTATCCCTTTTCCTGGCGTGTTTTAAAATAAAAAAACTGTTGTATTGTGCTCGAGGACAGGTGCGTAAGAGAAGGCCCCTGTCAAATCTGTCTTTGTGAATAAATTACTGATGATGATAAACGGCAGTATTGATCTGAAGCAGCTTAAAGGTCCTATATTTTTAAAAAAAACTTTAAAAATTGACTCTTGTGAGCTTTATGCACTGTGGTTAACTCATCAAAAAGATACTACGAGTCATGTTTCGTATCATTCACACATGTTTGAGTAATCCTTTAGTATTAGTCTGTCTACATCTTCAAAGCTCAAAATGCTCTGTTCCGCCTTGTGATGTCATGAAGTGGTAGTTTCAGTTTTAGTTAACAGCTCCTTTTACCTTTAGTTCGGTTGAGATTGGCAATTGTAGGACTGAAATGATCCAAATGATTCTAGTGGAGGTGTAGTTCAGGGGTCTCCAACCTTTTTCCTCCAGTGAGCTACTTTTACAAAACAAAAATGCTGGAGAGCGACTCATTAAGCGGCCGCAAGAAATTTATAGACAATTAAAAAACGAGGGCGAGCCTTTGGGTACAATTAGACGCCAATGAAACATAAACCACTGTCCTTTTATTAGTGCAAAAAGTTGGGCTTAAGAATTATACATTTACAATAGTAATGCAATAGTAAGGCATGTAATTAACCACATTTTTGTTATAAAAAAAAAAAAAAGTAAAAAAAAAAAAAAAGTATTTCGCTCTTTTCCCTATATTTATTTTTTTTATTTGATTTAATTTTATTTACTTATTACTTTATTTTTATTCTTATTATTAGTTATTTATTTACTTATTTTATTTTATTATTATTATTTCCACTGGAGACAATGGAGGAGGGAAATGGGAGGGGAGTGGGGGAATAAAAAACTTGTCACATTATATTATTGCTACTTATTGTTTTTTTTCTGAGACATCTGCTTTATGTGCACCAAAAAAAGAAAGAAAAAAAAAAAAAAAAGAGTTATTCATCAGCAAATGGTATAATTTCAAAATTCTTTGGGGAGCTACTTTGAAGGGGGTGGCGAGCTAGGGAGTTTAGGGAGTTTAAAAACACAGTGGAGCACTTCCTGTATTACCACATGACATCACAGGGTGGAACAGTGCTTTCTGTCTGAGAAAAGAACTCAGTCTAAATTTGCAGGGTTTGTGTGAATGAGTGCGTATACATGCACATCAGTAACCCGGTTATTAGCCATACCCCGGTTATGTCAGTATTCGTGTTACTGCGTATACATGCGCACTGAGAAACCGGGACACTCATATCCGCGTATACATGATCAAATGGAGTATCCCGGTTTCTTGACATAATCTTACAAATGCGCAGGCGCAAAAATTTACTTAAATCAATTTCATAAACCAGGAAAAATACAAACCGTGAGCTCCTTTAGCATAAGAAGCTAAGGAGCTACGAGATCTCCCACAATCCACTGTGCAGATTCTTCATTAAAATCTTCTGCATAAATAAACTCAACTTTACAACATATGAAAACACTATAGAGCTACATCAGCCCGTTTGATCAGATAATTCAGCTGTGATCACATTTGTTTACATTTTACAGAAACGAAACTTAAGACCGTAGGCTAATAAGCATAAACTGTTAGCGGCGATAAAAACAAAAAACTCTCTCCTTGCGCCGCTGATGCGATCAGTTTCTTTTGGACTAAATGACACGACTCTGTGGATTATGTGTGTTATTTCTGTGACAGAAGAGGAGCTAATGATGGTAAGTGTGTTTCCGTGCATATAGAGTATAGGAGATAGTTCATGTTTTAGTTTTTCAGCGATCACACGAGTGCAGGTCGTACGAGTGCAGATTGTACGTGTGCAGGTTTAGCGCAGCTCTTTATTTTACAGTCATTTCACTCGTTTGGTCATTTTATTTATGTTGGTCAATTTATTTATGTGACTACTGTTGTGGTGAAAAGACTGGAAAGTGTCTTTTGGACGCATGCGCACTCAACTTTATGTTGCAGTAACCGGGGTACTGCGTATACATGCCACAAGGAACCCGGTTACTATCGGAATAAACCAGCTACAGTAACCCGGTTTGTATTAACCGGGATACTGCCAGAACCGGGTTACTGAAACCGGGTTACTGCGTATACATGCACCATCAAGAAACCGGGATACTCAAAAAACCCGATCATAACCGGGATACTGATGTGCATGTATACGCACTCAATGAAATAAAACATAACTCCAGCTATGTTTTTGATAGGAAACAACAGTATAAAACAGATCAGAAAATACCATAATCTGGGCCCTTTAAGGTCCAGTTATTCCTATTCAAAACTGAAAACTCTCTATTAGGGGTGTAACGATATCCAAGTCTCATGATACAATATCGTCATGGTATGAACCTCAGGGTACGATATTTATTGCGATATTTTGTGGAGGCTCAACAAAACTGTTAATATGCTACTTCTTCCTCTTAAAATGCCTTGACAAGACTTAATCCAAAGAACTAAGACTTAAAAGTGCTTGGAACTGTTATTTCTTCTTGTAGTCTGCACTGAAATGGAGCAAAGGATCATGGTCTGTGTAGTTCCCTCTGTGTTTTTTAGCTATTTCTGCACTATAACTCTTTATTTAAGCAAAGAGAATTCGATATGTTGAGATGGTCCAGGATATTATTGTGAGAACTTTAACGATACGATATCATGATATTTCCGTTTTTGTTACATCCCTACTCTCTGCAGTACAAACCTGATCAGAAGGGAGATGACGTCCTCCTTCTGCAGCAGCTCGTAGTCTCCTCCAGAGGTCAGAGGTCGGCCGGGGTCAGAGCGGCTCCAGGTGAACTGTGGGAAGGGGTCACCGGCGATGGCGCAGGACAGCAGGACGTGTTGCCCCACACTGGCACTCACCGCTTTGGGCTTGGTGATGAACCAGGGCTGCACTCCATCCTGGGGCTCTGGGGGCATATAGTGTTGAAAATCAGATACTAATCAATACTAAAACTACTAGTAGTATCGAAACTAGATACTAATTTGAGCAGGTATCAATAATTTAAAAAAAAAAAATCAAGGGATTACACAGATATAAAACGACAGTGATATAAAAATTACCATTATTTAATGTTGAAAATCACATTCTATAGTCTAAATAGTGTTTTTTATTATTATTATTGTGGTATTGGAATCTGTATTGAGTATCGAGTATCGAGTCTATTCCTTAGTATCAAAATATTTTATCGAATATTGAAATTATAGTATCATCGCAATATTAATATCTAATATTGTACTTATATGAACTGTATATAATGCATGACAATTATTTTATCTTTTTTTATACAATGTTAGAGGTAGTGAAGTGTTAGTCTGATTCATCAGCCGGTTTCACTTCATGGAAACTGTCACATTAGGGATTTTTCGCTCGACAGTAGGCGGGTACTTTTTTAATTTAACCAATAGCTGCTATTTGGTTGTGATGTATCTAATGCACCAATTCACCAAACATTCTCTTTGTTCTGGCTTTAAATCCTCGATCTCGGGAATCGTTGCCAACACAGAATGTCTGTCTTCGTCTACATCCATCTTGACGCTTTGTTTACTGTTGTGCTGTTCCACAAAATGGACCAAGACAGGGTCATGGCTAGTGTAGTGTAGCTGTCAATTTTCTTTTTTTTTTCATATATATTTTATTTAATTTTTGATTTTTTTTTATATTGTGGTCTTACGGCCACACAAAAATGCCACAAAATATACAAGTGTACAAATGCCACATTTAAACCCCCTCCTCCCCATTCCCAAACCCCAATTCAACCTCCCCACACCCACCCCCACCCTTAACAGACGCTGAAAAGAAAAAGGAAAAAAAATAAATAAATAATAATAATAATAATAATAATAATAATAATGATAATGATATTGACCAGAAAATAATAATAAAAATAAAATAACATAATTACATTAATATATACAAATGACATACATTTACATACATACACATAAACGCACACACTCAAACACTCACCCATAACAAATACATTCAAAAATATATAAATAAATTAAAAAAAAAAAAAAAGTATAAATTACATATTTAAATATATGTGTACAGGTGTCCATATTTTCCAGAACATATCTTGTTTGCCATTTCGCTCATAAGTCAATTTTTCCAAGGGAATGGTTGATGATAACTGAGTTAACCATAAGTCCAGTGTAGGTAAATGCGGGGTTGCCCACTTCAAAAGAACACATTTTCTTGCCAAAGACGTCATAATCATTAACATAGACTGGGTAACATTATCAAAAAGTTTGTCAAGCTGTCAATTTTCAAAACAATTTAATGCTTATCCGTATCAGATTTATACTGTCTTCAAAACATGAAAAATCTTATTTTAAAGAGGAGGTATTATGTAAAATTGACTTTTTTTTCAAGATTTTACCATGTTATAATGCACTTCTATGATCAAAAACATGCCTGAAGAGGTCTTGAGGCACTATTCGAGCCCAGTAGTTTCTTCAATATTACATGATTAGTTTCACACCAATTGCAATGTGATAACACTCTAAGAGGGAGTGAAAAAAATGTAAAAGACACATATTAAACAATAAAGCATTTTCAAAACAATAAACGGTAACATGGTGATCTAAATAAATGCATTAGTAATCAATACCCCATAGAAGTGTGACACCCCTTGAGTTATTGTAGAGGAAATGTCATGGCTGAGGTTTCCAAAAGAAGTTTAAAAAGTTTGAATACAAATATTATCTCAGGTTTATGTGGCTTTACTCTGGACCATTATTTATTCACTCTCCGGTCACCACCTGGCTGCCCTCTGCACAACCTCTCCGACCATCATTAATCATGCGAATACAATCACTCTGGCTGCGCGGGTGAAGTGTCTTGCCAAAAGACACAACAGCAGTATGCAATGACTGCGCTACAGCTGAACCAACAATAAATCAAATATATACATTAGGAGGCATGTCGCTCTGGGTGGGTTTTCTTCCATGTACCCAAAGCTGTTGAAAAAAATGCACGTTTCGTTTGTGGAGATAATGAGGCTCACCATACACACACGTTCTGCTCCTGAGTGAAGTTAAAAACATTTTGGACACACGTTGGATCAACAAATGGACAAATAACCAGTTTTAATGTTACTCAAAATGTGATGACACTTTACATGAGGGATATACCCGATTGACCAAGCTATGTCAGATATTTATTCAAAATTTGTTGAGCCTGTGCGAAAAAAAAAAAAGCAATTACACATAAATGGCTTCAACCAGACCCACCTTTGCTGAAAAACTGGTTAAAATTAATGGAAGAAACTCATAAAATGGAATGTTTGAGATACATGTTAAGGGTTCAAGCTGATGTTTTTTATTTAAAATGGGCTAAATGGTCCAAATATCACTTTTTTTTTTTTTTTTTTGGACATGTAAATGTATGTTAAATGTATGTTAAATGTATGTTAAATTCTTTGCAGACGGTACATTTTTGTTTTTGTTATTGTGTAAAATGCTCAATAAAAATTAAATGACAAGAAAAAAAAAAAAAAAAAGACATGGTTTATTTCTGTCCTGTGAGTGTTGGTTGTTTTTAGTATCAGTACCTGCACAAATAAGTATCTTGTTTCAATATTTTGCATTTCAGAAAACAACAAAACATGCTATAAGATAATAATATTTCATACAGATGGGGGGCTGCCAAAATTAATATTGTTAAAATGCTGTTTTTTGTTGTAATACAGTGAGTTCTTGGGTCGTCAGGTTAAACATTTATGAATCTACCTTTTGGAAATTTCATGGCAAAGTACAATGTAATCAATAAAAAAATCTGGCTCTTATCAGCTATTTGGGATTATGGCATCATCATACTTTAGAATCTGAAAACCGCCAATTTTCAGTACATCAGACAACCCGAACAAAGGCATATCTTTAGTCATATTGATATTTTTATAGCTGATGCCATCAACATTTCCTGGGGGTGTGAAGTTAGACTTTAATCTGAGATTTATTTTAACACAGTCTGACCATAAAGAGTTGAATTTGGTTGAAACTACAACAGGTGAGACGATTTGTGTTGTTTAAATCCATTTTGTATTTTTTCATGAGTTTTCAGACTACTATTGAACATTGCTTCGGATTAAAAGAAGCAATATCAATAGTGTTGAATTCTCTTGTCTATTTTTATGCATAAGGTGCATCGGATTATAAGGCGCATTAAGCGAAACAAACGGACGACACTTGAGACTGATCCTTAGCCCAGGCGTCCACGATCCATCGGTAGATCGTGGTGTAATTCGCGTTGTCTCCCTGTCTTGGTGAATGTGGATTATGAATGTGAATGTGGGTGGATAATTTAAGTTTGTTTTTTTATTTCCTACGAGGACGACTCAAATATACATTGATTAATAATGTGTTTAATGCAGCTTTGCCATGTTTGTTTATATTTTACAAAAACAAAACTTAAAACTATATGGCTCATTTGCATAAACTATAACCGCTGAAAAAAACTCATTCATTGTGCTTCTATCAGACTAAAGGACACGACTCAGTGGAATATGAGTGTTCTTTCTGTGACAGAGGGATATGTTGCAGGTGGTGAGTCTGTTCTGTGTTTCTATCACGTTGGAGATGGTTCATGTGAAACATTTCAGAGATTATAAGTCTGCAGGTCATACATATAGACTGTATATATGAATGGATTTATATTCTCTGTAGCATTTCATTGATGTCATAAATGCAACACAATATGTTTTTTTTATACAAAGGATACAGGTTAAAAATAATGATATGCAGTGTTCTCATCATTTTAGATGTCAAAAGGGTTTTGTGGCTCCAGGTGTTTTCTTTTCGGTGGGAGTCGGTCCAAATGGCTCTTTGAGTATTTAAGGTTGCCGACCCCTGGTAAACACGAGCCCCATGTTTAAATCTTCACCTCCTAGCATTGTGGTGGTTAATTACTTTGAGGCACACAGACCTCGACACAGATCCATAAATCAAAAACAATGGCGACAAGGCGACGGCGGCAGTGTGCGCTGACAATAATTCGCCCTTTACTCGGCGAGGCTCCTGACTACATTAGCCAACAATCCATCAAGCGGTGTGGCTTTATAGTTTACCAAAGTCGTACTAAAACATTTTAACAGATTTTTCAGCGCTGTGTACCACATAAAATCAGTTTGAGGTCAGTAAGCACAACCAGAATTAATACATAAGGTGCAAAGGATTATAAGGAGCACTGTCGATTTTTGAGAAGATTAAAGGATTTTAAGTGCACCTTATAATCCAAAAAATATGGTAGATTTAAATACCCCCAACGTGATGTCACTGCAAAGTATCAGTACAGCTGTAGTTGATGTCTTTTTTAAGTTAATATTTTCTTTTTCTTCTGTTATATGGCTCGTGTGTTGTGCCTTACCCTCCACTGTGAGCCTGGCGTGGGTGCTGGCCTCCCCGTGCTGGTTCCAGGCTCTGCAGCTGTAGGTGCCCGTGTCCTCGGGGAACACCTCCTGGATGAGCAGGGTGCAGCGGTTCTTCTCCCGGAGCAGCTGGAAGTCCTCGCTCTCTGTCACCTCCTGCCCGTCGTGGAGCCAGAGCACCTCAGGAGGGGGCTGGCCTGAAGAGCAGAGCACAATCTGTTTAATCATCTGTATCATACTACTTAAACTGCTAATAAGACACACAACAAGAAGGTTCTGGGTTCAACTCTTCACCACCCAGGCCTTTCAGTGTGGAGCTGCATGTTCTCCCTGTGTCTCGGCAGGTTTCCTCCACCCAGTTTTTTCCCATTAACCCAAAACATGCACCATAGGTAAAATCCTCCAGCTAAGACACTCCTGACTAGAGCTGCTCAATTATGTAAAAAAAAAAAAAATACTATCATGATTATTTTGGTCAATATTGAAATCACGATTATTCAAATGATAATTTTTTAGTTACATGATGCATTTATTCAGCATTTCTCTCTCAAAAAACACACTTTGTTATTGATAATTTACACAAAACATTCAAAACTGAAAATAAACTCAAGCTACAAATATGAACCTTAGAGCAGTTTTGTGATGTATAAAATATAAAACGAATAAAATAAACTTTGAACATGAAATAAGGCATAGAAAAAGATAAATGTATCCAAAATAAACCATATATCCAGCTGTACTTCAATCTCTATATTTAAAAAAAATGAATAAATATACCCAAAATAAACTTTGTTAAGCTTTAAATCGTTTCAACTCGATTATATGAATTTGGAGATGACACACAAATTGAAATCGCGATCGAAATTCGATTCATTGCACAGACTTAGTCCTGACCAAGACTAGCTGAAGATCGGAAGATGAGTACGACACTGAAGGATGGGTCGAATGGGTTAATTTTTTCTTTTTTTTAACACTCCCAAATTCTAATCTAGATAAGGAAAAGTCTAATGGACAGAAAGTAACGTCTGCTTTCAATACATATATTATTTTAACATGCAAGGCCAATCCGTTTCAAATACTCAAGATCATATTAAAAGGCAAATAACAATCCAAATTATGTATAAGAACAAAATATAACTCCAAGTACACAAGGAACAACATTATAAAAACTGAAAATTCCCTAAATATACTGTAACTTCTTAGAGGATTACAGCTACATCTTTCATTCACAATAACTTGAGTCGTTGGTCGGCTGTGCTCTTTAAAGGCCAGACAGGAAGTAATGATTGTTGATAGTTACTTAACGAGATAATTTCATTACATTTGAGAAAGGTTAGTTAAGAGCCCCTGTTCAAAGACACGTGCAAGAGCTTAACCTTTGAACGAGATGGTTAAAGTTCTTACGCATTCATCCTAAGCCAAAGAAACCAGTTAACCCAAGATTCTACATCAGTGCACACATGAGGAGTTGGAAAAGGTGGAAGAGCTGGAAAATTAATCGCAACTGAATCAAAATCTCTGTTTGAATTAGCATATCACGTTTTACTTCAGCCTAAAGTTTAGCCTTTTCAGTCATGTCGTGATCCAAAAGGGATTGCAGTCTATGTCCCCGAATAGGCAATTTGTACAGCACAATTCGTACACAAAGTAATTCAAAGTGCTTTACAGAATAAGAAATACATTAAAATCACAATATAAACAATTCAAAACATAAATAATCATCATAAAATTTAAAAAAAGCGAGAGAGAGAGACATTAAACGAGAGAGAAGAGTGCGGTAAGTAAACCTTTCAGTGATTTGCAGCTAAACAGAACAGATCTGAGTCAGGATTTAAGCAGAGTTTAAGTAGAGTCTGTCTCGTGTTCAGGAAGACTGTTCCAGGTTTCAGCTGCGTGAACCTGAAACTCTGACTCCCCGTGTTTAGTCCTGACTCTGGGCACCAGCCGGAGGTAGGTCGAGATGTGCGAGATGGTTCATATGGCACTAACATGTCAGAGATGGACTTTGGTGCTCGGAGAGACACTTGGAGGTGCTTGGAGTTTACCGTATTTTCCAGGCTATTAGGCGCTCTGGATTATAAGAAGCACTGTCAATGAATGGTCTATTTTCTAACTTTTTTTCACAAATAAACCGCATCAGACTTTAAACGAAGCACAACAGTTGGATGGGTCAGTGGGACTTTGTTTGTGGCGTTCACGGTGACTCTGGGCTTTGTTCAGTTGTGGCGTGTTGGGAGGGTGCTGTCTGGGACCAACGGATTGTCGTTGTGTTCGCAGTGACGCAGTTGTTCAGTTGTGTCTTAGAAGCGACACGTTGCGCTCGCTTTTCGGTTCGTTCCTCCGTTCCGTTCCTCGTCAGTGTGGAGTGATGAGTGTGACTGTGGGTGTTTTTTGCTGTGCGGTCGCTGTCTGCTCCGTGTGTGTTTATGTGTTCTGCGGGTGTTGCGGCTTTGTATTTTACTGAAGTCGTACTGGGACACCTGAGTGGATTCGTGTATAGGGCGCTCTGGATTGTGGGCACACGGTCATTTTTTAATGGGGTTACAGGCTTAAGAGCGCGTCTAAAAGCCCTGAAAATACGGTATTGTTTTCAGAAATTATTTTTATGATTTTAACTTTTATGTAATTGTTTTGTTTGTAAGTGTCTCATTTGTTGTTGTTCTGTGTGAAGAGTAGCTGGTGTCACGGACGTCAGCTAATTGGGAATCTGAAAAAAAATCACATCAAAATACACAAACACACACAAACATGAGCTACCTATCTGGTCAGTCAGGACACTTTCCAGCTATAATTCAGTAAAATCCATTGGCTCTTAAAGTCTGAATTTGAGATCAGTTTAGTATGTGACTCAGTTGTTCAGTTGTGTCTAGAAGCGGCACGTTGCGCTCGCTTTTTCGGTTCTTTCCTCCGTTCCGTTCCTCATCGGCGTGGAGTGATGAGTGTGTCTGTGGGTGTTTTTCGCCGCGCGGTCGCCGTCTGCTCCGTGTGTGTTTGCGTGCGCTGCGGCTTTGTAGTTTACTGAAGTCGTACTGGGACACCTGAGTGGATTCGTGTAAGGGGCGCTCTGGATTGTGGGGCGCGCAGATGTTTTTTGATGGGGTTGGAGGCTTAAGAGCGCGTCTAATAGCCCGGAAAATACGGTATTCTCTGAACCACAGGAGCCAGTGCAGAGACCTGAGCACAGGATTTATGTGCTCGTACTTCCAGGTTCAAGTCAGGACACAATAAATAAACAAACAAACTGCTATCACTACAAGGGCTGCAATTTTTTAAGTACCATAATTTCATCTACAAATGACAAAATGTGCTAACCCTGTAGTTTAGATCTACACAAACTTTCTGAAATGTGATTCTTGCATTATTTTTAAGTTCATAGTTGGAACAGAATCCTATTATTCAAACAGAAATGGCAAATCTAATCGCAATGTTTGTCATAAAAATTGCAGTTACATAGTTTCCCAAAATCTTTCGGCCCCGGCAAAAACAGATAAGTGCCTTTGAGAAGAATGTCTGTTTGTCTATCAGTGTTTTCAAAAGCAAAATGTTTTTACTGCAATAAAAATATTATCCAATCACTTCTGCCTCAAATTAACTGCACTGTTATTAAAGGTGCACTGCGTAACATTTCTAGTGGAGGGTCCGCCACCTGCTTGTCTCCATGGAAATGTTATTGCTTTGCCTAGAAAGTTCCGCAGTATTAATTAAACCCATCGATCATTACATTACAAGTCAGATCTGTGGAGAATCACCCCTATTTATAGAAGGACTGACTGTACTACTGAGCAATAAAAACACCCATAAATAATAAATGCGATGTATAAATATTTAATGTCATATCATGGAACATTCCAGGCAAAGCAATAACATCTCCATGGAGACAAGCAGGTGACGGAACCTTCACCAGAAAAGTTGCGCATTAGGGATGGGACAATAAACACTCTTTTATCGTGATGAAAAGGGTAGAGGATAATCGTCCACCCATCATGGTCTTTTCTAGATCATTATTGTTTTCACTTTTAAGCAAAATACATGGTTTGGGTGTTTCCTGTGATTTATACTCCAGTGCGACTTATATATTAAAAATGTTCACACTGCAGCTGTGAGAGGTTCTAGTCTTGTGTGTCAGTATCTGCTGCTCCTGTTCCTCCTGTACCACTGTCACTTGGCTCTACTGCACATGTCTCCTGCAGAAAGAGCCTCTGTCCTGTCTGTATCATGTCAGTCGATCGCACCATTACTTCTGCACCACTGAACAATTTAACATTTAAACAAACTTATAAAGACACTGAGAAACTGAACACAAATGCCCCCAAAAAGAAAATTGTATTTTGCAGATTACAAACTGCAAGTCGTGAAATCTGCAGCTGAAAACGGTAATCGAGCAGCAGAAAGAAAGTTTGGAGTGATTGAGAAACTTGTGACACCGGGAGGATGCAACGTGAAACTTTCCTAAAGTCACTGGATGGATGGACAAAGCCTGGACTTCAGTGACACCGAAACCATCCTGTCGGGATTCAGAAAGGCCCGAATAATTCTAACTGGAACTGATGCCGAGTCTGACGACAGCGACACAGAAGGTTGGCTGGTGTGATTCTAGCTGCCACAGATGAATGCTGTCGTTGTGTCCTTGGGCAAGACACTTAACCCACCTTGCCCCTAGTGTCTGTGTACACTGGTGTGTGAATGTGTGTGTGAATAGGTGAGTGGTTCCTTGTTGTAAAGCGCTTTGAGTGCCTTGAAGGTGGAAAAGCGCTATAGAAAAATGTGACCATTTACCATTGACCAAGAGGAAGCGACGATTTACCTCCGGAGGTCGAGGCCGAGTTGCTCGGAAGTGACACCGAGGATGAAGAATTGAATGGATTTAGTGATTTGGAGTGAGATGGAGAGTTTGGTAAACTTGTTCTGTTCTGTTGTTTATGTTATAGTTTATCTGAAGAACTGTTCATATGTGACGTTAACAGTCTGTTGTTCTCTGTTCTATTGTTTTTACTAGAACTTAACTTTCAACAGGAAATGTCAGTTCCTGGTCTCTGATTTTATAAAATAAATTTCCCTCAAAAAGTGCAATTTATAGTCCGGTCCAACTTATATAGGGTTTTTTTTCTTCTTCATTACACATTTTTTCACTGGTGCGACTTGTACTCCGGAGCGACTTATAGTCCGAAAAATACAGTACTATAACAGTTGTTTAAAT